CCCTATTCCACCCACCACTAAATTCCACCTTTATCTGATTGTTGTTGTTTGTTCAGTTTTTTGATCACATTTTGAGGCACTAGAGCTTTGAGAGTGCAAGGAGGAGAAAACTGCTTGGGTATGGATTGCATACACACTCAGAATAAAACTCCTAGTGCAAGGTATCTTTAACCAAAATCTTTCCCTTGTCTTGTCCACAGCAGTCTCTATGGCAAGCTAACACCACTTTGTCCTTCTCTACAAAACCAGAAGTGATGAGGACTTACAGTGAAAAAAAGAGTCCCCAATTCAGTTTACACTGGAGTAACTGAAATGCAAACAGCTTCATCCAGTGCTTGTCCAATGTACAACCTGGAAGACAGGCAGAACCCATGACTGTCTGGAGCAGCTTTGCTTAACAACACTCTGACAAAGAAAAGATGGGAAGGGCTTAAAGGAAGAAGGAACAACATCTCATCTCTTGGTGTCATAATGGACTTGGTGTCATAAACCAGCGTGGATTTTCTTCCCCAATATTTTTAACATCTCTTAAACAGCTCAAGATACATAGCCACTAGCATTTAGCTCACAGACACTGAAGTAAATCAATCAAACAGGCCAATCCATTAATTCTCAAACAATAACAACAAAGTCAGTAATCCTCTGGTATCAACCAGGGAACCAACAAGATGCCTGCAGATTTCAGCCTCTGCTGAATTATCTTCCAGTACAGTCCTCCCATCCGTACCTCTAATGTATCTACTGAATACTCTTAAGACAGTAAATACACAGGTTATAGTCCCAAACCACCCCACCATACCTCTGATTTTGATTTTTTAACTGTTCTGGATAAACATTTCAGCGCTGCCATTGCAATATCTCTGCTATAATTCTCAAGACAAACAGTGAGGCGTCCATTCAGAGCTTACACTGACCTTTATTTGATCTATCAAATTATGAGGAACAAAATCTGCAAACCACTCAGATACATTAAATCAGGAGTAGTATTCTCTAGACAATCACACAGCACTGTACTCTACTCACTTATCCTGTGCCAAGTCCAACAGTTCACAACCAGTTGAAGGAAAACTTCAAAATTTTGCAATTTAATGTTCTGTAAGCCAGACTTTTTTTTTTTTTCCTGTTATGTTCAAATGATGTTCCTATCTGTTAATAATGGCCTTTGTTACTATCTTTGTTGCACCAGGGAACTCGTCAATAGCTGGCACTTTCCTCTAATGAAGGTATTTATATACAACTAGCGTTCCTTTACGCACTTTCAAAAGTATTCAAATCTTTAAAGTTTCCTTGAGGCATTTTCTCAAGCCCTAAGTGCACATATTCAGCCTTTTCTGCAACCTATTTGATTACTAAAGTCCTGTTCAAAATGTGGACATCAGAAGCGGATATTACGCTTGAGTACGAGCTTCATCAATAACACACTCAGAAGTAAAAGTCATCTCTTCCTACTATCTGCCATTCCAGTTTATATTTATAAAGTCTGAATTAGCTCTTTATGCCACAGCACCACTATAGAAGATCAATCTGAATTATTCATTCACTGACTCCTAAATCTTTTCCAGAGTTGCTGCATTTCATCACACAGTCCACTCTGACCTGCATTTCCATTTTTTTAACAGATAAGGGAGGCTTTTTTAACGAGTACTTCGCTCATTTGATGGGCCCCGCTTACCAAGTAATGCTGAAGAGGTCCCAGCACCTCCCTGGCCACACTTTGACTACTTCAATACTTTGGTGTCACTTGTACATCAGTAATGATTTTACAGTTCTTTCCAGATCACTGAAAAAAGAACTCAGTATTGCCTAGATATGTCAACCTGTCAAATTACTTAAAAGAAAACTCTGTGATGTCCTTTTATCAATCTTTTCTACCTTCTCATTTACTATTTTCACAGCAATAATTTACATTATTCAACTGTACTTCAGTTCCTGCTGGTTAAAAACATATCTGGTTTAAACTCAACTGATTTTTCCATCATAAAATTATAATTCTGTAGGTTATTAATATGTTCTTCTTAAGGTTGTTATTGGCTGTTGGGTTTTTTGCTTGAAAAACCCTAAACAACAATTCTTTATTTCAGGGTCCGATGTGACTGACTTGAAGCAGGATCATTTTTTTTTACTGTTTACTACATCACTATTTTCACAAAAGTACAGAAACAAAATGCCAAAATAAGGAATGCAATTTTGGCATCACATTTAAACAATGACAAGGAATATATTCTGATTGTTAGGTATCCACAAAAAGTTTGTTACTCATCACCATAATCAGTTCTTTACCCCTTTCTTCCAAACAGTCTTTTTGCACTTTCAAATACAATACTCTAGACTTCTGTCACAGGTCAAGAACTTGACATTTTTTACAGTGTGTTCTACAAGGCACAGCTCAGCAGCAGAACTACATTTCCATTAGTACCAGTGACACTAGTGGACAGAGCTGTGATTTATTAGGCAAAAGGGAGCAGCAAGGACTAATTGGCTGGATGAGGACACAGAAGTGTGTGAGAGGAATGCCTAAACAACAGAGAACACACGCAAAGGTAGCTTGTTCCTATGAGGTACAACCTCGTAATGAATGGCATTACTAACAGATCTGAGATACAAGAAATGCCGTACATAATTCAGATGCAAATACAATCTTGCTCAAATCAGCACACTTTCCAAAAACATTCCTATATGAATAAATGGTAAAGTTTGTTTAGTTTGAGGGAGTAGTAGTTAATAAACAAGATGATAAAAACATCTTTGTTAATTTTCTTGCTGTATGTTGATTGTATCTGTGATTACATCTTTCCTCATCACCACCACATCACACTGAAGAAAAAGTGCAGACTTCAACAGGCATGAAATAGGAGAACTGTTGTTGTCGTCTGTAATAATCCAATAAAGGTACATCCTTAAGCAGAAATTATTACATTCTAAAAGAATCCAGTACATATTCAAAATGTAGACTTTTGTAAGGGCAAGAAGATAACTTTAAAAGTCATCGTGAGGGGAGAGCAATGGACATTTGCATGCATCAAGCAATCATGCTTCAGAAGAGCTGGCTTGGTCCCCTCAGTAACAGCTGCAGATATAATGCTAATAATATCATAAAATAAGGCTTCACATATTAAAACAGCAACTTTTTTTTGAAACTGCCCTTGATCTTTTATCACACCAAATTTAGAAACAGCCACCAGTGTAATCCTCCAATGTGACCTAAATATAGAATTAGATGTTCTTAAGAGCTGGACCACACGGGGTCCGCAGAAAAGTGCTCTCCTAAATGTCAGCGGTAACTCAGTGATTGGTCAGATTTTGTCCATCAGAATAGAGAGGCAGTAAGTATTGATTAAAACTGTCAAATAGTGACAGAGAGGCCGTGAAGTACACGCTTGACTGCCGAACTGCTGGTGGTTCCGCCAGCTTCACTGAAGCAAGGAATGAGTATGCCTCCTGCCTGCGGGTCAGCGCTCGCAGTAAAGTACACGTTGAGACCGGAGACCAAAACAATGATCTGGATCTCTTCTAATTATGTGGAAATTCACATCCATTTGTTTTCCTATACTGGTTTGCCCTCCCTAGAACCCAAGCACTGCTTTGGAAAACTTTCAGCATGAGAACTCTCAGCAGTTTAGATTAAGAAAAAGTAAGATTGCTTCTGTCACTTCTGTCCATCAGGAAGGAACCTCATTACCTGAGTAGGCTTGTAATACGTTGTTATGCGGGCCACATCCTATTACCATTGATTTCTCCATAAAGCTGATGCAATTATGGCCATTTAAATATTATCCTTCAACTATTTACTTATCTTGTTGGAAAGAAATCTAAGCATATCTGAATACAGATCAGTTGATTTTGTGGTTAGGCAGCAAGTAAAATAGAGATGCGGTTCTTTTTACTGCTTGTGGTTCTTCCATATAAATGAATCAGAGTGGACACATATTCTATGGAAAACGAGATGCAGAGTAATTGCAGAGGCATTCAGAACTGACTGGATTTGTATGTGTTGAGTTTCCACATGTACTTAAAGATCAAAACTTTTTATTTCCCACACCAAAGAACACAGTTTGTTATAGAACACAGCTCCAAATTATTTTCAGTAATGGTAAAACATTTCATAAGTCTAGCAAGTAGGCAGATGTTCTGCAAAATTGCATAGGTAAAAGTGCAAAAGGTTGAGAGTTCTTTCACAGATGAGTCACAGAAGAGTAATGTAATAGAAAGGTTTTATTAGCAAGACCACGTACCACCATTTGGACACTTAAGTGTGAGAGCTATGGGTGCAATCAAGCCCTTGAAGGGCTTGTGACAGTAATGTTGAATGCCATAATCACCGGGAAGACCACGGCGATAGACAAAGTGTTAACTAGACATCTGATCTGCAATTTTAAAACATCCAAATTATCTGAATTAGCTTTATGCTTTGCTTCTGGATACAAGGAGCCTTTTTCCAGTTCTCCTAACAAGGCTTTCTGCAGACCTGAAGATTTATGAAACTCTAAATATTAAACTGGACAAAATAGCTATTTTGAAGCTCAGTAATATTTGAAGAAAATGCACTGTGGAGGAAAGAAAGAAATATTTCTCTATAAAATTTCCTGAAATAGTGAGAAAGTAATCACGATTGTTTGAAAGCTATACAGAAGTTTAAAAAGCAAGAAAATGGTAAGAGGCAGCACATCAAGTACACTGTTCAGGCTAAAGAGCATCAAAACTTACGTAGTAGAAGTGTTGACATATACACATAATCATACCATCTAAGCCCAGCATCAGCTCTACTTTTATAGACCAGGTAAACCATACACATAGTCAAATTTATTTGTCGGCACCTGGACATCAAAGTAAAGCTGTTTTCAGAAAGAAGCATTGCATGTTCAAAAATCTTCCTTTACATAAAACCTTATTTTTATTGGACATCAGTGAGTCCAAGGCAGACGGCTGATCTAATTTTAGATAGGGACAGACCCACCCCACCAGCAGCTAGGGTAATAAAGGGGAGCCAAGGTTTATTTTACCTTATATTCAGATTCCAACGTCACATTGTTCTGCTTCAATTTTTCCTTCAAAGCAGGATCAACCTGTAAAACAAATATATATATATTTATATATAAATATAAATAAAGTTTGCTTTTAAGATTTTTTTTTTAAAAAGAAATTTAAACCTCAAATAGATCAGTACATGAAATCCCTCCTCTCCTACAAATATATGCTGTTTGTTTAGACAGTAGTATGATGAACTGGGCTGAAAAGAGACAAGTCAATAAACTTTCATATCAAACCAGAAGCACATCTGTAATTAGACCCATACTTGCACAACATTAGATACTTCCACCTGAAACTGTTCAGATCAACAGTTTTGAAGTAAATAAAGCCTTAAACAAACAAAAGAAAACCAACAAAGAAAAAACTGCTTTCATGTTACATATTTTACTCCTGAATGGTGTGTTCAGAGAACAGGCATACAACACACTCTGCTTTACAAAGTCCACACATAATCATATTTCCAACTTTCTGGAGAACACATTGCTCTTTCCTATACCATATGCTTTGATTCTATACCAACAATGTTGACAATTACTGCCAACCTACAGTTAGTCAAAGAACAAACCCAAGAACAGAAATATGAGTGAACAACAGTGGATAAATTTCATGCAGTTGAGCCCAGAGGGAGATGTGCTCATCCCTCCCCTTCCTAAGCCTTTCTTAAAAGGCCTGAGAGCACAAAATTTCTTCATCCTTAGAGAAAGTGTTTCGTCTTCTTTCTCCTCAAACAGAAATCAGCCAAATGTGCAGTACTCAAACACAGTCTTTAGGCTAATCAGTTAGACTATCAAATCTACCATGACAAATCATTCTCATTTTTAGACCTTAAATACAAATGCTGTTAAACCAATAGATGTGTGAGGGGACTGGAAATGTATTCAGTTCTACAGCTATGGTTCACTAGTCCAACTATGAACAATTCAATCAACATAAATTGTTACTCTTAATTTGCTACTTCTTGATCTGATTGAAAAGTGCTCAGTTATCCTTATCATCGTTGGCTTTGAAAGTCTAAAATGAGTCTAGAAAGGAGGGAATACAAGTTAGAGAACTTGCCTGGCTTCTACCTTCAGATTCCGCCCTATATTGGTCTCCTACACTGAATAAAAAATGAGATGCTATGTCTGTGCCTTGGTATTCAAGGCCTGCTCAGAACTGCCCTTCACTGCAGACAGATTGCCTCTCCCTTTCTGTGACTGTGACCTCCAACAACAGCCATGCCTCATTAGAGCAGCAAACCCATCCATCACAGGCACAGAGTGGGACCTTGCTGGGCGGCCAGGCAGGCTGCAGAGCTTGTGTTTGCTGAGATGAGAGCGATCGCAGACCTCAGTGCGTTCAGAACTAAATGCAAACACCATTTGTTACGCTTAGCGTTCTCACAGCACACATATGGACAAGGGGAAATAAATGCTCCAGCAAGTGAAGAAGCAAGAAGGAGGGAGTTTCATTTCCTCCTACATTCTCCCTTCAGTTAATAAGACACCTGAGATAACACGGTTGGAGCAGCATCTTTACTTAATTAGCTGCAGCCATAACTTAACTCCTACAAGGTGAAGGGAAACGAGCAGTGAAGGTCCTTCTGTCCTCACACTTACTTCCATATTTATTCTTCCCTCTGTGAAGCAAGAAGACTGGCTAAAGCAGATACATCCCAGACATCCCAGAACTTGTAACTGTTCCACATTATCTTTGTAATACTGACAAAAATGCAAAAATGAAAGAGCATGGTTTAAATTTCTCAGAAAAAAACACCACTATCCCATAAACAAGAAACAAAGAAAATCTACTTCTTTAGAAGCACAAATTTTATTCAACAAATTAATTTACTGAAAAAAATAGCAATTAAACCCTATCTTGAGGGCAAATGATGCAAACATCTTGGAAAGGGCTTAATATTTACTTGACAAGTTGACAAAAGACTCAAATCCAACCTGCAGAACATGGTATTTTGCTTGTAGTTGGACAAAAATATCAGGTAGCAAAAATGTATTTCCTTCAATCTTTACCTTTCCCTACATACTTACCTATAATGTATAATTGAAACAAACTTGACTCTGCTCAGAAGTCGAGTCACACGTGCTCTAAGGCCTTGGCTGCAAAGCCCCATTTTGCAGTTGCCAAATCTGAACAGAAGGTCACAAATAATTTTTAGAACTAACAGGGTAGTTGAAGGAAAGCATGCTCTGAAGCTCTGCTTTCCCAGCACTTGTACCATGCTACATAATCCTTCTGATAGTACAGTAAGAAAAAAAGGAAATATAACGGTCCTATTGCCATTCTGAAAAGGCAGATTAACATCAATAAGAACCACAATCTCAGATTATACCAGGAACACTCACTGTGTGGGTAGAACCAGAGAAGTGCCACACATCACACACCTTCCTCAAGAGCCAAGCACAAGCACATCTTGCTTCATTTTGATTGCCATGCCAACACACGTGCTGCTGAAAGAGCTACAAGTATTCAGCCACGTGCTGAAATGAATCATCAGCTATGCTGTGAATACAAATCCCCATTGATAAAGCTGATGGGAAAGGGCAAAGCCTAAATGCCCTCACAGCCTGGCACTGGCAGTAACCTCTGCACCATCATTTAGGAGGCAGTCAGGAACAGAAGACAACATCCATTTGCACCAGCCTATTGCCTGTCAGGCCAAATCTCCGATACTCCTTTAAGATCTATTTAAATCCAAGCTGTGTCACTAAAAATGGAATTCAGAGATGCATGTTGTTCTTTTAATTACTGCGCATCTTGAAATTATTGCTGAAAAGCTACTGAAAGGCACAATAAAAGTATCTGGACAGCTTTCATGAGAAGCCACCAGCAAGGCTTGGACATCTGTACTAAAGATACCATTCCCCAAAATGGGTTCACCCCTTACTATTTCTGCATAGAGCTCATAGCAACGTGAGTGAAACCCTCTCAAAGTACGTTGCTCTATACAAGTTCATTTTGCATTACATCTCTCGGAAACACAAGGGTAGGTATACAGACAAATCTCAACACAAACTGTAAGTGCAAAGTTATCAAACCATAATTTTGTCTTGTCTCACAAGCTCCCGTACCTTCAAATTTACCCTTACTAAACTTCCAAAGGTTTTCAAGATTATCAAAGAGAAAGACTTAAAAACAAAACAAAACAAAAAACTTCAGGCAGTAAATCACAAAAATATGCCTAGAAATCTTAGTAGGCAGCTATTTGAAGCTGTAAGTCTCTAAAATCCTTTTAGAAGACGGCTCACTTCTCATGTTAAGGCTAACGTTCCAGTCTTTCAGTTCAAATTAGCTCCAAGCCTGGCTCTGGGTGCAGAGCTGGAGCATCTCCTCAAGGCGGGCAGGAACACCTCAAGCCCACGACCCCTACCAGGTTGGGGCCTTCTGCAGTGTGCTGTGAGAAGCTGCCAGCCCCTGTGTTCTCTTGGGTAAAGGGTATTTTTTATTTGCGACACAAATATTCCTGGCATGGTTATAAACCCTAAGAACTACTAAAAATTCTCTAGCTAACAGCTCTGGGCTGGTTCTCAGTGACCACAGCTCATTTTGGTTTAGAAGCAAATAATAAATACAGTGACCGAGAGCTGTGAACATCGCTTATTTTACCTCAGAGATACCCAAAGGATGGCTCTGTCAGCAAGAAGCCCAAAGAACACCACCACTACCCCCTGTCAGTGCATTAAAGCAGTTGAGCAGCGTCATCCTCCATTCAGTCCTCAGACAGCAATGAATTGATCCACGTTCTGATTTTCAAGGCAGCATCCTGTCACCCAGAACAAATGCACAAATGTGTGTAATTCAGACAGCCCACCTTCACAATAGTTATCCTTTATTTACCCATACCTTCTCACTATTTGTAGGCTGGGGTTTTAGGGCAAGCCAAGCTGTGAGTACAGAACATCTTCTAAAACTGTGGGCTCCCTCATGCTACACAGCAATGCTGCCAAAGGACAGCCATGCCATGAGGAGAGCCCTGTGCCTCAACAGGCCCCTCTCACATCAGCCATACGCTGGTGGCCAGGGCCTGACCAAATATTTGCACTCCAGCCTCAGAAAACTTTCCCTCCAGCAAACATTTCCAGAAGACAGAACTTGTCTACCCTAAAACTAGTTGGTTATTTTTACTAAAACATGGGTACTCTTTCTTACCCAGTTCTCCACAAAATAATATCCCACTGAAAGATTTCAGCTTTTACTTTAGAAACGGGAAGGGCGATGGATAGGATTTAATGAACATGAATTAAGCTTTTTTTTTTCTCCCCCATCTGCTCACACCAGCATAAACAGATGGGCCACAATTCTCCTGCAGCATCCACAACACAGCCCACAAAATTGACTGCTTGCATGAAATCCTGCAGTTTGTTCTCCACACCCATTTTTGAAACCTAGTATAAAACAAAAACCACCAGTTCAGGCTGTCCCATAGAATACTATCTTCAAATCCACAGATCATGTCAACTCCTCTAGATGGAAAATCAGCAGTCCTAAGCAGAGCAACTTAAATTTTCCTTGAGGAAAGACTCCAGTAAGTTGTTACAAAAGTCTGTGTCACAAATATTCCAACCTGCGGCTTTTAAGCAGCCTGGGCAGCTGTGCACATGAGACGACACATCCCAGGACCGGGGTAGTGCCTGTAATCTACAGATAAATGTCATTCGGCTGAAGGCAGTAAGAGAACGAAGGTCAGAGCATCAGCAAGAGCAAAGGGCAAGGGAAAACATACCATTACTTGTGCCTGCATTCCCAGCAGCCTTTAATTACTTTATTCCGAATTTTTAATACACAGAAAACATGTATGTAAGGCTATTGCTCAAGCTTGGACAGGAATACTTCTGCATGTTGAGGCGATACTGAGAACAAATCCAACACTCAGGCTCACATCCTTTGACTCTTTCATAAGATCTGCATAGAACACAGACAGACAAACAAGAACTATATATATTTAATCCTGCCTCTGACAGAAATCAATGCAGACATTTCCAAAGGAGCAATATTAAATCTTATTACAGAAGCAGTTCCCACAGTTTTGGTACATGAT